ACACTTGCGATTTAATGAACGACGAGGATCTATCGGCGCTACCGCCGACGAGAGAGACTCCTCGCTCGGTCCTCGCTATTTGCCTTTCCAACTTCTGTCTGAGCCAACGCTCGGATTTTCCGCTTTGAGCGTAACCTCTGTGCGAGAAGGAGACACCGAGGTCGACGATTGTCATCAGTCCCGACGTCAGTACGCAACGGATCCACTCGGAAAACTCGCACGCCGCGGTAAGCGCGACGTTTTTTATCGACTCGACCTTCTCCGGAGCCGAGGACGTACGCGAGGCAGGGGAGCATCCACAACGACGATGACGACGACGCTCGCACGGCGTGAAAAATATTCCGCGCGCTCGACGTAACGGGGGCGAGTTGGCCCCGGCGACGGCGACGATACCGCGCGGGAACTCGCGCTAATCTGCTTATCTCAGGCTATAACTCGCTTATCTATCAGAACCCCATCGTCGCTTAAGCGCTCAGCTGCGTGGAGTGCGCAGTGCCGACGTAAACGAGCGAGCAAAGGGCGAGCTCCGGCGCAGCGCGGCGCGGCGCGGCGCGGCGCGGCGCGGCGCGAGGAATCAATTGTTGACCGGGCGATCGACGGCCGTCTCAACTTGGCCGGGCACTCAACTAGCCAACTCGGAACACTCGGAACTTCTGGATATGAGCCCGCCGACTGCCGCCATCATCTCTCGCCGCTCGTCCACGGACTCGATTCACCATCCACGTCAGCGCTCTGACGCATGATCGATTCCGGCCCGAGAAGAGGAGGACGCGAGACAGGACGGTACAGGCGTAAAACGTCTGTTCGCGGGAGAAAGGAATCGCCAAGGGGAGAGAAAGAGAGCCTCATGGCTAATTACACGACGCAGCAGACGTCGCCGCTCGGCGGCGGCAACCTGCCGGAGACCTCGTCGCCGCGCAACTCCAGCTACCTGGAGGACGTGACGTCGAACCTCGCGGTGCAGATAATGTTCTGCGTGTTCTACGCGAACATCTTCGTGCTGGGGATCTTCGGGAACGTGCTGGTGTGCTTCGTGGTGGCTCGGAACCGCCACATGCACACCGTCACCAACTTCTTCATCACGAACCTCGCGCTGAGCGACGTGCTGCTGTGCGTGCTGGCCGTGCCCTTCACGCCGCTCTACACCTTCCTGGGCCGCTGGGTCTTTGGCAACACCCTCTGCCACCTGGTGCCCTACGCCCAGGGCGTGAGCGTGTACATCAGCACGCTCACGCTCACCAGCATCGCCGTCGACCGTTTCTTGGTCATTATCTATCCGTTCCACCCGCGCATGAAGATCGAGATGTGCCTGTCGATCATCCTCGGCGTCTGGGTGGTCGCGCTGCTGGTCACCTTGCCCTACGGCATATACATGCAGCTGGAGGAGCCGCACACCTTTTGCGAGGAGCACTGGCCGAGCGAGCCGTTCCGCAAGGTCTTCAGCTCGGTCACCTCGATACTGCAGTTCATCGTGCCGTTCTTCGTCATCGCCTTCTGTTACGTGTGCGTGTCGATCAAGCTGAACGACCGAGCGCGCAGCAAGCCTGGCAGCAAGAGCAGCAAGCGCGAGGAGGCGGACCGCGAGAGGAAGCGCCGCACCAACAGGATGCTGATCGCAATGGTCGCGATATTCGGCATCTCGTGGCTGCCGCTCAACATCATCAACGTCGTCGAGGACTTCTACTCGCCGGCCAACGACTGGTCGTACTACCGGCTCTGCTTCTTCATGACGCACTGCCTGGCCATGAGCAGTACCTGCTACAATCCGTTCCTCTACGCGTGGCTCAACGACAATTTCCGCAAGGAATTCAAGCAGGTATACGGCGGGGGGGGGGTATTTGTTTGCTTTGCGCGCGTGCCTGCGAACCGCGCGCTCTCATTCAAGCTCATCTGGCTTTCGTCCGCGTTATATTGTTATTTCGAACGAGAGAGAGCAGACAGGCACAGCCGCCGCACGGCGCGCCCGGAACTTGCCAAAGTCGCTCGGACGGACTGTTCGTCTCGCTGCTTCCTTTTCATTACCAAAGTATACACAGAGAATAAGCGGATTATTCTTGTTATATTCGGAGAGGATCCGTGCGCGAGATACAGCGCGACGCTTGCATATAAAATCCAGTTTGGTAAGATCGGATACACACACACACACAGAGAGAGAGAGAGAGAGAGAGAGAGAGAGAGAAAGAGGAGGGGGGGAGGGAGCGCGGAACGGTATGCTAAAAACGCTGCTCGAAAGTGGAGTCGGAAAGTGGAATAAATGTAATATTGTCTTCAGACCGTCTCCCTCTCGTCGGATCTGCTTGAGCGGAAGCTCAAGGCAAGAGCGGCCGTTTCTACGAGGCACACATATAATCACAATTCCGCGAAACAACGTGAACGATCGCGTCGATAGCGCGAATACAATTTACCCAGCGGTACAATTCGCGCACACTGAGCGGTTTCTAATGGACGGGGAGAGGGCGAGGGCAACGAGGGTGCACTTTGAATAATTGGGACAGAACTATTTGCATGAAGAGAGAGAGAGAGAGAGAGAGAGAGAGAGAGAGAGAGAGAGAGAGAGAGAGAAGCGAGAGAGGAACATCGAACAGCGACGAGAGTCCAATGAGTTGAACGATGCGTTTCTACCAGCACGTGTGCGCCGTATGTACATGTGTTGTGCGCCGAAGGGGGGAGCCGAGGGGTCTCCGAATTAATTTACATTGCGCGCCCGTTTCTTGCTGCGTCTCCGTTTTGCTTGGAAATCGCGCTTACATTAGCCCTCGCTGAAAGCGCGACAAGATGGCGAGCGCGCAAACATTGCAACTTGCCGTGTGACTTCGCTCGACCGAGACGAGAAAATTTCGGGCTGAAGAAGCGGCGCGAGAGACTCTTCGCTTCGCGCGACTCCCGCGAGAAGAGATTCGAATTGCTGCTGTCGTTGCCGTCGAATTTGTAAGATTGCCTCGCTTTACAAAGTCTCGCTTTTCTCCGGTCGCTCCGCCGATGTTATTTGTGTCGGAGTTTCAATCGCACGCGAAGCCGATGAATCTTTTCGCTCGAGGAGAGACTGCACTTTCGCGGGCGGGGTGTTCCGATATGCCGATAGGCGCGAGGGGGTTGATCTTTGCGGGCTTTGATTCGCGCTTTGCGTCCCGGAGTCTGATTAATCATCGCGCTCTCGGCGTGCAGATTATTTTTTAATCACCCGCGCCTGCCTACGACTCGACTCGTCGACGCCCTTTCATCAATCTTTAACCTCAAGTTCCGCGAATGATAAAACGTGCTCGAGAGACGGCTCGTCTACGACTGTCTCGTGTAACGACTTGAGAGGGCCGCTTCTCCCATAAACTGCAATTACAGGATCGATTATTAATTTCGCCGGGGTGTAAAATGAATTCCAAGGCGCCGCCTTGAGAGGCGTAAACGAGACCGCGCAAAGTCAAACATCGCCTGATTGGACGCATACTTGTCGAACGAGACGAGAAGATGCGCTTTCCGAGCTGATAAACGCGCGAAAAATCCGTCGACGCGTGCATCTTGCGAAATCATCGCCGAAATCTACAACAGGGCCGCTTTGTGCGGCCGCTCTGTGTAAATGATGCGCGTAATTTAATTCCACGCTTGGCAAGTCGCCGCCGTTATTCGCGCCGCCGTTGCAAGTTACCTCCTCTCACTAACGGCCTGGGTTAATGACTTAATTTCTCCTCGTTACCGGAAATAACGGCTGCGCGATTTACACCTTTTTTTCTTTTTCACGCAACGTGTCCTTCCAGTCGTTATCTTTACCGTAACTTGGCGCATGCAGGTTGCGTCTACGGACGGGATGGGCGGCAACGAATCGTAAAAAGAGATGACACGGAAACTCGTTGGAGAGAAGTAACGGGATATGTAAGGACCCGTTACTTCTCGCGTAACGGTAACGACGAGGAGTAACTCGCGCCAACGAATAACGAGTAACGGCGAGTTACTTGTAAAAAGTTAACTTTCCCAATCCAGGATTTAATGCACAAAGTTTCTACATGCGACGGCGCGATCTTATCGCCGATCTTTTCTCCTCCTCCCCCCCCCCTCTCTCTCTCTCTCTCTCTCTCTCTCTCTCAATCTCAGTCTCTCGGTACGATTATGTCATCGCGATGAAACTCATCTGAGATTCCAAAGTCCAATCGATCAATCCGTTGATATTTGTGTAGATCCTGCCGTGCTTCTCGAGAGACCCTGACGGCAACACCCCGAAGAACAGGGAGGGCTGCAGGAGCGAGAGGATGTGTAACGGTAATAATACCATGCAAGAGACCCTGCTGCCCAGCAACACGACGAGAGCCCAGAATCCCGAGGGATGCGAGATGATCATATTGGAGGCAACGGCGAACATTTCGAAAGAACAGGATCAACCCTCGAGCTCCTCCAAGGATTTCGACGATGCGGCGCTGTGAGAGTGAAAGCGAGAGAGAGAGAGAGAGAGAGAGAGGGGGGGGAGAGGAGAAGGAGAGAGAGAGAGAGAGAGAGAGAGAGAGAGAGAGAGAGAGAGAGAGAGAGAGAGAGAGAGAGAGAGAGAGAGAGAGAGAGAGAAAGAGAGAAGGTACGCACAGGTACGACGTGAATATGCGTCCCTTCTTACACGACGGAAATTACGCTAATGCGAGACACATGCACGTCAAAGTGAAACGCTAACTAACGAGCACACATGTGCTGGAGGGGGAAGAACGCACGCTTCGACGGAATGCAAATGCATGGGAGAGACGGGCGGTAGCGAATCGTAAGGAAAGAGGTCTTTAAAAGCTGACGGGGCAGGTAAAGGGGATCGCGAAGACTCGTTGCACTCGGTGAGTAACGATCGCGACGACCACGAGTAGTTGCCCAAAGTAGGGTCGGTCCACGAGTGTGTGTCGGCCAAATGCCGAATTATCTTCTTTTTCTTCTTCCCGGTCCCGTTTGCAGCATCTTTTTTTATACCTGCTCTTACCTCCGTAGTTGTTATTACGTCTAATAGGTGGACTAGTGTTATTGTTGTATCTAATGGACAGAGAGAGAGAGAGAGAGAGAGAGAGAGAGAGAGAGAGAGAGAGAGAGAGCGTGAAGTGTCCTTTCGCTTATCCCGACATTTCCTTCGCGTCTTTCGCGCGTAAAACTTCTCTTGCGCGATCTTTCACTCGCGCATTCGTTCCACCCTGCCGCGTGGCACCGCATAAAATTCCTTCGCGAATTACGCCACCAAATGCCTTCGCCGAAGCTTTCCTCGTCCTTTGAACTACCCTCGGGACATCTTTCTTACATAAGAAACTCGATTTTTCCGCGTATTCCTCCTCTCTCTCCCTCTCTCACTCCCCGGGCGTGGTGCTTTGATTCCGCGAATGTTCATCTCCGCAGTTCGTTTCGCCATTTCCTCCCCCTCGTGAGCGGCTTTACGGGGGGAATCTCGGCGTGACGACAAACGCCTGTGAACTGACTAACTTAATGCACGCGCGAGTGCGAGAGTGCGCGCGCGATGGGCCGCGTTCAAACATAATAAAGGAAAGAAGAATCTCCGCGCTTTACGAGATCCGCGAGTGAGGAAAGTCGTTTCCATCTCTCTCGTCGTGGTGGCGGAACAGCGGAGCGGAATAGACGGAGATCAGGCTGGCATGCCTCCCGTGTTTCTTTGCGGCGCGGCGAGATTTTTGCGCGAGTATACAATTGTCGAGAAAATTCCGTCAGTCTGCCAGCCAGCCGCCAGCGTCGCCGTCGCCGCCGCCGTCGTCGTCGTCGTCGTCGTCGTCGTCGTCGTTTTAGTCCTTTTGCGCGCGCTCCCCGCGCGTTGATAAGCTGAAAAAGCACGCTCGCCAAACGGACGGATCGATTTACATAACGACACCGTATCGTGACGCTAAGAGTTACGGTCTCATTCCCGCTTTCGCCAGAAGACGCTACGGTCGCGGCCGCAGCCGCGCCGAGATGAAATTGCCATCTCGATATCGTCATTCGTTTACGCGAGATCGACGGGGAAAACAGAGACGCGGGGAGAGGAACTTTTGCTGCCACGAGGTCCATGTTTTATTTTTTTTCGTCAATTCATATTTCATTACGTCGCCGTCGCCGTCGTAGCTGGAGACGATCCGAAACTTTGCCCGACGGACGAGACGTCCCGAAAAGTTGCCTCTCCCGAGATTCTTATTTTTTGCGCTCACTGTCCGCGTTATATATTAATAAAGCAGCGAGACCTCTCCGATCGTAACGTAGCAGGGGCATCCTCTCGGCCTTGCGCAACGAGACGACCACGTGTAGATCGTCGCCCTGTCGCGGTGAGGGTGGCGTAACGAAGATGACGGGCGAATAAAAAGTTTCTCGACGAGAATTTCACCGACGCGACGTGCTGTCCTAACATCAACCTAACTATACTCTACGATTTGGCCGGCAGCTATTCCGTCGGGAGAAAAATAGAAGAGACGAAGCGAGACGGGGCAAAAGGAGAGAGAGAGAGAGAGAGAGAGACAAGAGAAAGTCAGGCAGTTTAATAACTTAAACGAAAGCAACGAAGCCGGAAACGATGAGACAGGGGCCAAAAGTTTGGAACTTGGCTAAGGTGACATCGATTTGTAGTCGTCGTCGTCGTCGTTATCCGTTTCTCTTCGAGAGACGTTCATATATTGAATCTCCCGATATGGTTCTCACCGCGCTCAGCTGGGCTCGCTCTTGTTTAAAAGCCGAGTGCAAGTTAAACTTCGTCGAATGGATAAAGCGCTCCAACGATATCGAATCGTTCATCCTTTTATAGAGACTCGACGCGAAATTGCTTATGCAATATTCTATCGCGCGTTGTCGTCGTCGTCGTCGTCGTCGTCGTACGGCATCGATGTTGCACGA